ACGAATTTATAAAGAGACTCATTATGAACAATCATTGAACTGAAAGAAATCTCGATTCTCAAGCTCAAATCGACATATTCTTGTAGTACTTTTCTTAAGTAGTATCTCAATAAAATGCAAAATACTCACTAAATTCCTCAATTTTTAGCTTCATAGAAAAATGTAACTTGCTTTTCACATGTTATTTACAATAATAAAGATGCAGTTAAGCTTATATTACGTTTTTGATTTTTCACTTCCAGTTTCAAGTTGCTTTGTTTATCTATAGTTTATACCGAAGATTCTATGCACTCAAAAACTACAAGAAATAGTAAAACTTCATGCAGAATACTCATAACTAGTTGTTGCCAAGTTTTCRGAYACATTWTTKYATAAATAGMTGATTTTTTTCCTATTCTACTTCTAGTTTTGAATCGCACTTGACAAAAAATGGTGACGTCATAACCATGTTTACATACTCTGATACAAACACGGCCAATCAGAACGCGCGTAGTATCCAAGTTATTTTATAAAACATTGTATTAACCAATAATAGCAACTTCAACAAATTCAACACATTATCTTATTACATATAAGTATAGGTTTAAGTTTAGATTACATACTTACCACTTTCAGTTTTASTAAAGAAACTGCCATAAGCAACTGAATATCCTACAAGATTTCAAAATGCTATAAATTATTACTGTACAAATGTAACAGGATGATTTGTATAGGAAATCGCACGACCTTGAGATTGTACGAGAGGTTGTGCGATTTTTTGTTTATAGTACATTCAGCTTAATTAAGGAGTACAATTAATTAACGCTGTAATTGTACTCCTCTCGACCAATCAGAATGTATTTATTTTGTTGAATGTACTATAAAATGATAAAAAGTTTGATTGCATATACTAGTGATTCTCACCTTGATAACCTATTTCTCCTTCTTTGTATTGGGCATCCTTGTCAGCACCATAAAATATCATGCCTAAAAAAATCAAAATAAGACCTTGAACTTCATAGTTTTTTTTTACACTAACAAACTAAAAAATTACAACATGGACTGTCAAACTCTTGATGGAATCATACAAAACTTACTTTTTGTACACTGTACATCATGGTATTACATACCATATATTGTAGCTAAAGATGCATATTTCGATACATGGTAATTTATAGCTATTTCTTTGGTGTTTACCTTGATAATTAGTTGTGCCAGGACCACCAAACATGGCTTGCTTTGTATTCTGACAATAAAAACAATTACCACCTGTTATTACACTTTATAATACTAGTCTAATAGACTATTAAAATGTTTCAAGTGTAAGTTCTTATCTGAACAAGAAAATATGGCTACATGTATATAGTGCCAAACCAACCAAAATAGTAATAAAGAATTTAGTGCAATAGAAGTTCAAATCTTAAAGTAATGGAAATCATATTCAGTTTGGTTAGCATTCTAGTGAGGGTACTTGTGACTATTATTGTACAAACAAAGGAACAATAGGAAACTAAGATAAACAATGCCAGCATTCCACAGGGAGTCCAGCCTGTAAAGAATTTGGTCAAGACATCTGAAAATTATGTTGGACCACACAAAAGCAAATCATTTCCTGAAGTGCAGATTCAAATGGGAAATTAATATTAAATTAGTTTGCAATATTGTAGGGGTAAGAGATTTTCTTGGGGCAATATTTAGGGATGGTCTCTACCACAGGAAATCCTGTGMTCYTGTTAGATTCTGTACTTACGGGGATATAAGTTGAACTAACTCCCATCTGACAGTACTGATATCTCTCATAAGTTGCAATAGATCCTGAATTTGCATCATCTACAAAAGCATGAAAAAAACATTGGTTTTACTAAAATAAATTATGCATCTTTTGAACTTGCCTCTATATTAAACTATCAATAATTGATGTTTCCTAATCATCCACAACATTTGATCATTTGGGGAGCAAGGATGGCCGAGCGGTTAAAACGCTGGTCTATCACCGCTGTGGTCCTGGTTTGATTCCCGGTCCGGGACTATATGTGATTTGAGTTTGTAGGCTGGTTCTCTTCCTTGTTCCGAGGGTTTTTCTCCAGGTCTGCTGGTTTTCCTCCCTCAGTCAAAAACTAGCTGTGAGGAGTGTCGTGTAGTAATATAATGCTGAGGTAGTGAGTATGAGGGAATATATAGAGGGCCACAAGTTTATTAGTCTAGAGACTATTACGTGCTACCCTCTCAAAATAAAAGACTTTATTTATTTATTTATTTATTTATTTATTTTATCCATTCCTAGAGCTATTGCTATAAAATTATCACAGGAAGTCTGGGACTCTGTTTATCTTTTTTGCCTCAAAATACTTCATTGTCATTTGTACACCCAAGATATTTTTGAATACAGTCAACTCTCTCATAAATGACCACCTCGAGATCAGGAAAAAGTGGTTGCTTAAGAGAGATGGTTGCTTACGAGAATTTAGGACAGGAAACCCAAATAATGATAATCACAACACAGGATCCCAAATATAGTTCAAAAACACATTGTTTGTATTTCAGTGTATAAAATCTTTAAGCGCAATCATACTGCTTCCATGCTAGTCYGCAAATTTGTTGATTATGTCCTAATTCTACTGTTTTCAATGGCATAACTAACACTTTAGTGTATTTGATACTAAATAGTACGCTTTTACGGTTTGTACTCTATTAAAGTAACCAGAAATGTAATTTGTGTAAGCTTTATAAGTAAATYAAACACATGCCTTTATTGAGTCAGTTGAGGGTGGTCRTTTATGGGAGAGAGAAAACAATGAAAAATMCTACGATTTCAATCCCAAAGGTGGTCTCGGTCACCTACAAGAGTGGTAGCCTATGAGAGAGTTTTTTAACAAAAACGGAAATTTAAAAGGTGTTCGCTTACGGAAGATGGTCGCTTACAAGAGTGGTCAACTTCAAAGAGAGTTAACTGTATTGCAAGAATATTTTCAGGTATTTTTATGTTGTCATGTGTGCCTTGAAAACCACCTGATCATCTCACAAATCATCTTTTTAAGCACACTAAATTTGCAACATGACCTCAATCACTATTAACATAATTGTGACTCAATATGACATGAATCTCTTTAAAATATACAGTAAATAAATATAATATAAAACAAGGATTACCGTACCTTTATTTCTATCCAAACATTCTGAATATGGTCTGATAAATCTCTGTAATAAGCTTTTTYTTGCAGTGTAGCATTTGCCAGGATACATATGATAGTTGACTCTTTTGGTTTTATAGATATACCTATGGCCACATGCCTGATATCAAAAGGAAAATTGGTAAACAAAAACTAAACATTCAAACACAATATTATTAACCTATTTAAAAAAAACATTGTCGGGAAGAACAGCGAATGGCTCTTATCTAAGGGTGATTGCACAACTTAAAGGGGTTATGGTAAGTTACAAAATTTCATTACTGGTATGGAAACTATCTKACAGTATAAATCAGTTCTTATTTCTCGTCAATTAGCAAAACCCATGGCTACTTTCAGCTGGGCAATTTGACAATTGACATTCTGACGGGCATTTTACCAGACAACTCTTTTTGAAATAAGTCTATATTTAGTCCAGGGGGTAGGGTGACTGGTYAATGCTGACCAAGGTTTGATATGTCCTCAATGCTTTCATGTGCCCTCCAATACTCGTGAGTTACATATGGCCGGGGAGGGGCTCTGTATGGGGAGAAGGGCTTTGTGGCTCACACGCATCCAGGTGCGCCTTTACTGTCATTTGCCTTGATATGGAACAAGCTCAGACAAAATTTATGATTACAATAATTATTTGCAATGGACTGCTATCAATCAAAATTTTCCAAATTGTTTTAGTTGATTGACGGCAGTCTATTGCCAATTGCAGTTTTGAAGATTGATCTGGACTGGTTGCATAGCAATGCAAACAACAGTAAAAAGTTAAAGATAACTACATGTACATGTAAGCATAACAACCAGTATTTGGGTCAGTTTTTCTATTTTTAAAATGGCCATGATAAAATAATAAGTTTAATGCCCTGTAAAAGATCACTGACATGTTGGACAAAGGTCATTTGTCAGAGTAAACGTAAAGAGTTTCATGAAGGACCAACACTCCATAATGCTGGGAAGTTTTCACTCCTCTGATCTCAAGTCGTGCAATTCACCATAATGACTGACACTTACAACAGTTAATGATGATGTGTCAAGGCCGATTTACATGTTGCTATTTGGAGACATGATATGTAAATAAGCATTAAAGATAATAGCTGAGGATACACACATCATGTTGTTCAAACAATTATTGAATAAATGTCTTACCAAAACATTACCACCAGGTCCAGTGGATAGTGATACACCAAACCACATATTACTTTGGTCTTCAATGTCTTCWCCCYGACTGTTTTCMTCATTTTCTGACATGAACAATTAAAAATATACACACTRATCAATGCAAGTAAATTACAAWGTTCTGTCAAATGATGGTCGCTTGCAGGAGATGGTAGTGAGAGACTAAAATGGTGGGAACTACAATAATCAAGAGACTACATTAATCGCTTMTATTTGTAAACAAATGTTTTTAATCAAAAAGAATTTTTTTAATGAACAGTTCTTAGTGTCAGCTACCAGCTGAAACAGTGTTAGTACTTGGTGACCAAGGATAATAATTACAAAGTAATCATTGTTTATGATCAACAGCTTTAATTCCCCTCTAGGGCCAGTTTTACAATGGATGTATAAAGTTTAACTTTATATACACCCGATTAAAATATCCACTCCATAATTCTTCGTTGTATGGATTATATTTAGTGTAGATGAAATAATCTATGTAATGGGTTGCACTTCTGTATTCGACTTTTGTACAACTGGCCTCAGTTGGTGGAAAACATTACGATTATRAAAAAACGTACAACAAAAGCAAGCCACCTAACACCTGTATCGGATAATTATGTTTTCTTATGAAGGCAGCCTACCGGTAATTAGTTATATAGAGCACWTTCACAAACGTAACAGTGAAAGATAATGGCTAATGAATACAACAAAATTGCGCTACAATTAAAATACTTACACCTTGCTACTATACGGGAATAAAAACCTCAAAAAATCAAAATTTCTAACCGAAAACCATTGATAACCTTGAAAGTATACTTTGAAATTTGATATTGGATATAGTATTTGTAAGCTATCGTTGTGGTTTAAGCGTTTTTTAAATTTCAAAGTTCCACAACTCTGAAGTTCGTCCCATGTATTTTTTAGACACGAGGTCACGCGACWTTTTCTATAAACGACATTAACGCAATCAACTTTTAAGAATCATGCATAGATGTACTTGATATAATTTATTTAAGATCAAAACGAAACTTCAAATAAAGGCACTTCACAGGTAAATATTGACCAGAAGTGACAACCGTTAAAGCAAAAGTACAACATATTATCGCTTGCTCTTAAAGCTTCACTTAAAAGACATCTTAAACACAGAGTATTGCCTTAAAAAGTACTTATAATTCCACAATAATAAAACGAAATTCTACAAATATKTAATTCTCACCAGTTAAGAAATCTACTTGTTCACAGTCAGCATTCTTCAAATCACATTTGTAAACGGCACCCGGGCTGACGATTTTGTGGTTCACCAGTAAATTTGTGGTGTTCGCTTTTGGCGCCCCTACGAGAATCCTAGAGAGAAATACAAGATCGTAAAACTTTTATTCGTGAGATGGACGCCATATCAATATGTTTGGATGTCAAAGGGTTAGTGTAGCAGCAATCGTAAATCATCTCGCTTACCAATTTGCATTTCCACCACTGCGCGAAAACTGATGCTCTGCAACGGAAAACCCAAAATAGCTGCCAGGTTGGTCACCTTGCCGCAGTACAGGGATATTTACATCGATGTTAAATGTCTGAGAATGAAGGAATAAAGCGGCCAAAACAGCAACAGAAAGCCACCACATCTTGATCTTCAAAGTGACTTCTGCATACTACAACTGACGAGACAGCTGTGAATTGCGCATGCGCTTGTCAATATCTTGGATTCCATGCGTGACGCTCGCGCCAAGACACACCCGCCAAAAACCGGAAAGCGGAGGACGCCTAGAGCTCCATTAWATGAACATTTTGAAGTTTCTTGAACCGCAGTGRGTTTCCCTGTCAAAATTTAAAACTGGTTTTATATTTTCTTTTSATATTTTGTGTAAATTTCCTGACGCACTCACCAAGATATTTTTTTTTTAATCGAACACATGCTGTTCATTGTAAGTACTTGTGATCTTTATTTGGTGTTTTGTAAGATAAATAAATACGGYTTTATTGTACTCTTTAAGCAAAACATATCCCAATGATGTAAACAAAGGCAAGCCGCCTTTTAATTTTCAAGCAGTTGGRCTCTCAAGCYCCGGAAACAATCATATAATCTCTAGTCAGTCAAATCGATAGAATTACCACATGCACGCTGATTGGATGAAGTCATAGCCCAACACAGCTCAACGTTCGAATATTTCCAAACCCACTAAAAAAAGAAAARAAAARGRARRAAAAAARRAAAARRAAAAAAAAAAGAAACAGGAAGAAAAGAAAAAGAAACAAACTAAGTGGACAAAACGAAACATGCACTCTCATTTTAGTGAGAACGACGCATTAAGGAGCGCGTGGTTTTTCGCGCTGCCTCAATAGCGCTGCGCGGATATACTAAAAATAGATTTGAGAGATTAGACTCCCCACGGAGATTCGGACAAACAAGAGGTCAAGTTTGTAGTGAATGTATGTAGCGCGACCATGTAACTTTCAATTTTATTTAGATTTCTCTGGATTTTTTATCAATATGATCGGAACAAAGCACTGGCGTTCGGGGAGATGCAATACAGATTCACGATATACAGATAGAATGCCTCAGTCTCTCAAAGAATTTAAGAAAATTGAGTAAGAAAGTATTTATACCGTTCTTCAAGCCTTCTCATGACCTCGAACCATGCCTACAATGGATCAATTCTTGTTCTTGTAGTCCAACAACATCAATAAAACGGTAACAACGTGGCTGCATCAGCCAAGCACAGATACTTAACACGGTTCGCATGAAGCGTGTATTACCGCTCCACTATGTATGGATAAAGACTAATACATTATGAGGCAAGTTAGTTTCATAATAATGGTCGCTCTTGTCTGTTGCCCTTGTTACATCGCACAAAACGGGAATCGACATGTTTTCGTCCGTTTTTAAAAGGTTTGTCCGTCATATGTCTAAGCATCCTCGAGCGTATAGTTAGAGTTATAGATATAGTTTATTAAACAAAGATAAATCGCAGCCAAAGAGCTGAATTGGGTTATTTACTAAGTCATGTAAATAAAAACTATTTAAAAAACTGAGTCCAACATACAGTTCATATATTGATATGGAAGCAATTAGATCGTCAGAGACGGCACATGGCCAGGATGAACGAGTTCCTATACAGTCTCTTAACGCGAGCAACTAAGTCAACTCGCTTTCCTTGCACTTTTTTACCCCCACATCTCAACTAGCGTTATAATTGCTTGACAGCATAGTTGTCTGGATTATTTTGGAGCTTTGAACCAGGAAAATCGTCATTTTCTGTCAAAACTTCTGCATTTTGGAGCAGTTTAATGAGTCGCCTGTAAATATTCCACATACATTTCTCTTGTATTGACCTCAACGTTTGTCCGAATGCAAGCGGGGGGTCGAAATCTGTGACGTAATATCCGCGCAGCGCTATT